TTGAGGCCTATATTTACAAAAAGCATTATTTTATAGAAAACAAATGTAAATAAAACAAGACTGCTCGTATCAGGGCGAAGCCCTGAATGTTCCGACTGCCTTTTAAGGTTTATTGAGCAGCAGTAATACATAAAAAAAAATAAAATTTTGAATTTTTTTAAACGAAAATCATCCCCCCACACGCCATATACAGTACAAAAAGATAGATTTCGTTCCTTGTAACAAATCAATTGTGGCAAATAGGCTTCGTTCAACCAATTTGGAACGATTTATAAGACGGATTAAATCTCGCTTACGCATTAATAGCGCGAATTATATTGCGCGTTAATTGTCCCAAATTGGTCAAAATGGCAATCTTTAAACCCTCATAACCTTACGAAAAATGATCACAGGTAAAATATCTTTTCAAATTTAAGCTCAAGACAACAATACTTTTTGAATGATAAAAAAGAATTTCGTCAAAAATGGCTAGTTAAAAAGTCGAAATTTGTCAGGTTGGGTTCCGTCAGTTCAGTAAAAAAAAAATGCGCCTCATATCGATATAAAAAACGAAAATATTTTCTTTAGATCGATACAAGCTATTTCAAGTTAAATACAGAAGCGAGCGAAGCTGATCATCGCACCACTTGCGAAACAAAAAAATGGCTGTGATTAAAGCCAAATAAACTGAAAAATCAAAAAATGAAAGAAAAAAACCTTTAAAAATGTTTTCGTCAAAAAAAAACTTTTAAAAATCGCAGAAAAAAGAAGCCTAGAAAGTCCGGAAAAAATTACCTGCACCATTAGAAATTGGGAAAAATCAAAAACAGCCGAATTTGTACAAAAAACAGGTCCCGACTGGAATAAAACTCCCAGGTTTTATCGTCTCAAGCATGGTCAAACAGTAACTTGAAAGAAAGCTGAAACTTCGAAAAAAGGAGCTACGGAAATAAAACCGACAAATGAACAGAAAAACTATCAAAAAAGAACAAAAGCTAGTTTGCAAAACAAACTGGTTCTGGCTGGATTCCAATCACACCACAAGCATTTGCCATCTCAAGGGGTGGTTGGCTGAAATTTAAATTATAATAAGGCAAGAAGTTGAATGAGACCATGATATGTGTACTGCGAAGTAATTTATTTACGAGAAAAAGTCCAGTACCCAATTACGATACAGATGCTTATCGCAATAGTTAAAATACTCAAAACCTAAAACCAGTTAGAAGAACTACAGCTGAAATTTTTGCGTCAATTTCCTAGTAGTTTTTTTCGCTTTACTGCTTCAAAACTAATTTTAGCACCTCGTAAAAAGCAATCATGCATTTTTTGGAAACTTTGAATTTTATTTGATAGTTCATGGATAGTTCCACATGATGTTTAAAATTGTTATACATGTCGAGTTTCCAAATGCCAAATGTTTTTCAAATGTATAGAATGCGAGACAAATTGTATGGAATTTATTTTGTTAGCATTTTTGTTAATCAGGATTGAAAAAACTTCCAAGAATTATTTGAAAAACCGCATTACGAGGCCAAACTGTGTATTTTGCAAATTTTAAGCTGATTTTGCAATAAGGACGCTCTCTGTTATTTTTCTTTGCTGTTTACGACAAAATTCTTACATACTTAAAGACTTATATCTGGATTCCAGAGGCCTACACTCACTAAGCTGTGCGCCTATCCAGTCTACTTCATGAATTTGCGTGCAAGAAAACTTCTCCAGGTACATAATTTACATATTCGCTCAAAATTTACATATGACTCTCTAAACCCGGAAACAGCTTGCTTATGCTTGGGCTCAGTTTGCCAAACTTAGTCGAAGAAAAAAAAAGCAATTTATTTAATTCTATCAACTTTTGAGAGACCTCGAGGGTCAAACAGAATTGTACAAACTGAGGGTCACTCAGAGAACAAGGCTAGAATGAAGAATTTTACGAATGGATTAGTTTAAAAAAAACACAAACAAAAACCGTAAATTTAATCGTTAAAAATTCACGTATCAATGATCGAAACTGAGAAAAAATTGCCAAAACTCGAAACGTAAATAGGAAAAGTCACATGAAAACAAAAGCCATTTTTATTTGAAAATAATTTTCAAAGTAAAAATTGAGATGAAAAAGCAACTGGGTGAGATAAAAATTAAGGATTTAAGAACTACGAACCTGAGAAGCAAAAACAGCCCAGACACTTCAAAACAAACCACCTGATCAAAAATATACGTTTCGGTTATAACTGAAGTGCTTAACTTTATCGTTATCAATTGTGTAGGGTTATCATACTATCCTTCAATTTTAAAACCGGCTAAAATACAGCCATTATTTATGAAATTTGTTACCATTTATTACCTACTAACTTATGTTTTTTAAAATTAAAATGGTTGATCAAAAAATAACGGTTGATTAAAATTAAAACGGTTGATCAGAATTTATTAAAAAATTTGTAAATTCAACAAATAAATTTGTTTGCTAATAATTTAACACTTTAAACCAGGGGCGGATTTAGGGGGGGGGGGGCGGACGCCCCTTCCCCTCAGGGATTCGACCTCCTGCCGACCCAAAGGGTCCCCCCTTTGATACTTTTTCAGAAATCCATTTTTGGCCGACCGACCCTAAAATTTTTCTAAAGGCGCCTTTGGCGCCAATATATACCTTTTGAGGGGGAGCGCGCGCCAAAAAAACGCGATTTTTTGTCAACATTTTTCAAAAAGTGCCCAAAAACGGCTTTTTTTGACTGTTTTTCAAAAGGTTGCATGCGGCGCAGAAAATTTTGCCAAAATAGGGGCAAAACAGTGCTTTGGGAGCGCGAAAAATCAATTTGGTTGACCTAGAAAAAAAAAAAAAAGGTCGTCAAAATTTTGGAAATTTTTTTGAAATTCCCCCCCTCTCGAGAAAATCCTAGATTCGCCCCACCTTTAAACTACAATCAAAACTGGAACAATTCAGCACTAGGACGATTAGATTAATAATAGACTCTCAAAAATTGAGTTCAAATTAGATCAATAAAATAGATAGCAGAGATTCCTAAAATAGATCTCATAGAATTTTGGGTTGCACAGAATTTTTGGGTGAAACTTGAACTGTAAAACACATATTGATAAAAATTTGTAATGAGCTAAATCTTGCTCGAATATGAATAAAATCAACTCAATTAAATCATGAATTTAATCGATATTTCAAAAAAATTACTGATCTATTAATCAGCTTGCAAGAAATAAAAAACTGCAAAAATTCGCAACTTTAATCTTTTAACCTCGGATTTTTTATTGTTCACCTGGATGATTAGGCTTTGTGAGGTGAAGTTCGAAAAAGCTTATAACTTGTTTTGTAGCTTCAATTTTTTTGTAAAATTTTCATTCACCTGGAAGTCATTTCTTTTCTCTAATCATATGCCTTCTATGCTTTTAATTTTATGACTTTTCAATATTCAATAGTTTAAGTTGATTTTTCACAGATAATCTGGTCCACTGGTGGGGTTTTGCGACTTGCTGCAACGGCCGCTCCATCTTCACCTGTCAGTACTTCCAGCTGGCAACATGCCAGTTACAGCAATGATGGCCCAGGCCAACTTCGACAAACTGATTGCCAGTTGAGAGAAAAAAATGCAAAACTGTGCCTGATCAAAAAACAGATTTATTCAAATATTAAGAAACCCAATGAGAAAAAAAATGAAAGAACCCCTTTTGATTTGAAATCCATTAAACTTTGGTATCATCTTTCGGAATTATTCGATTAATATAAATGTGTTAATTTAAATTTGTATTGGATCATGAAAGTTCAGATCAAACTCAGCAACTGTTTTTTTGTGACAAAAAGTACCCGAGAAATTTTGAATGAAAAAATTCTAAAACTGAAAACGGCTTTAATAATTGCCGAAAAAGGGTTCAGAAAAAATGCAACCCCACCAAAAATATTTTGCAACAGTTACGACTGACAACAGTTACGACTGTATTCAAAACTTTGCTGAAGTTCATTCCGAAACTAAAATCGGTTCAATTATGCCTAAAAAGTAGGCTTGATGATTGGGTTTTGGGTGTGTAGGAGGCGTATAGCTTTTGTGTTTTCTTCTCATATTTTCAATCTCATGAACAGAAATTGAGTAAAAATGAAGTTGAAATTAGCCAATTTGAAAAAAAAAACAAATCATTAAAATCAAATCCAAACGTACGTCACTAAATAAACAATTTTGCGAAGCTGAAGCACAAGATGAAACTATAAAATGGTTGAATAGAGTTTCAAGAGCTGATACGTTAAAATGAATTCAATGATTCGAGAGCAGCTTACTGTCGAATTCAACTCACAAAAGTCTATATTTTACCAAATTACCAGACTAGCCTGCAGGTAAAAACTTTCAGCATGATCACAATTGGCTGCATACCCGCCCCTCAGCTTCATGGCAAAATACTTTATAATACAAAATTAAATTTTTTCAATTTTACTTTCAAAGTTAGTAACCAACTGATTTTTTTGAAGACTTGCATTTTAAGGGTTCCAGGCCATCACAAGAGCTTGCAGAGTGCTAAGTCATATTACTAGTTCTCGTATAATCATTTCATTCGTACTCTTAAACTAAGAAATTGAAGAAATAGATTGTTTAGTTCATACTGCGTGTACTTTTTTGTAGTATTTTTTTTTGATTGTTTTTAATAATTCTTTTATCTTCACGAGCTATGTGAAATGAAGCCTATTTGAAAAAAAAACAAAACGTTAGAATCAAATCAAAACACACGCCGATAAATTAACAGTTTTGCAAAGCTGAAGCAGTAGAAGAGACTATAAAATGGTTGAATAGAGTTTCAAGAGCTCATAAATTAATATCGATTCAATGATTCGAAGGCAGTTTACTTTCAATAGCAGGTCTACATTTTATCAAATTGGCCAGACTTGCCTTTAGGTAACAATTTTCTGCATGTTCATATGCTTTACTCGCCTCCAGCGTTACAACAATTAACTTTCGCATCCAAAATCAAACTCGTTCATTTTTACTCTGAAAGTTAGTAACAAATTGATTTTTTTTGAAGGATTCCAGGCCATAACACGAATTGCAAAATGACCACTCATGTTACTGGTGCTCGTATGATCACCTTGTTCGTGCTCTTCGGGTAAGAAAGATTGGAAAATAATTGTTTAATTTATACTGCGTACACTTTTTTGTAGTTTTTTTTCGATTGTTTTTAACTTTTTTGTCTTAACGAGCTATATAAATTCATTAAGCAGTTTTAATAGAAGAAGGGAGAACTCGAGTTCATTTTTTGCTGTCGGTTTTTTTCTATATAAAACGATTGTTTTTTGATATGCAATCGAGCACTGTTGTTGCTGTCAAGAACTGATAAAACTTTTCTAACAAAATGTTTCAGCTAAACGTTTTTCCATAAAAAAATGAAACTTGAAATATAGACAATTATTCAGTCAAGTTTAGAGGGAGGAAATAAGTAACGAATTGGCGCCGAAAGCGCCCTTAGAACGTTTTCAGGAGCGGTCGGCCGAAAATGGATGTGGTTAACTTGTCCCCATTTGGGTGGGGACGGGGTCGAAACTCTGAGGGAAAGGCGTCCAAACCCCAACCTCCCCAATATAGTCGAGGTCGTGATAGAACCAAGGCCACTGTGACACAAGGCATCAACTTTACCCCCGTGACAATTGCAAAGAAGCATGTACTTGAATTCTTACCAATTGTAAATAATTGTTAATTACTGGAAAACATGTGCTAGAAAAACTGAACAAAAACTGAAAAAAAAATGCGCTGAAAAACGTTTTTTTTTGTTATCTAAGTTAATGATTGGCAATGCAAACCCGCACTAAATAATAACCACTTATTGTCAAAAATACAAATCTATTATAATCCATTAGAATCGAATATAATTCATTTGTGTTTTGAATATAATCGGTTTGTCGCATCCCCCTCTCAGCCCCCTCCCGCCTATCAACCCCCTCAGCCCCCTCCCGCCCGAGAAACCAGCCTATCAAGTTCAAGGGGAAAAAGAGGAAGAAGACGTTCACCTCCGCAAAAGACCTGGCACACAGATTCAACAAGCAGTTCACCACCCCGAGGCCCCACACGACGTCGCAAGCCTACAGGACCATCACCAAGAGTATCCAAAACAGGTCCCTCGAAGACCATCCGACAATCACCACAACCCAGGTGATCAAGGCACTGAAGAAAGCGCAAAACTCGAAAGCCACAGGCCCAGATGGCATCACAATGATCCATCTTAAACACCTGGGACCCAAAGCCATAGAACATCTGACGAGCACGTTCAACCTGTCGATTTCAAGAAGTCAAATACCCGCCATCTGGAAGACTTCTATCATTATTCCACTACTGAAGCCAGGAAAACCCGCCAACGAGAGTGCCTCGTACCGGCCGATATCACTTCTTTGCCCCGCAGTCAAGATACTCGAGAAGTGCCTTCTCCCGATACTCCAGAAACACCTCAAGACGGCAGAACATCAACACGGCTTCAGACCGCGACACTCAACAGTCACAGCGCTCAATGAGCTATCAACTGTAATCGCAGACGGCTTCAATCAACGAAAACCCGCTGCCCGTACTGTTCTCGTTGCATTAGACCTCTCGAAAGCTTTCGATACTGTGTGTCACGCTACCCTCCTCAAGCTGATTAACGAGTCCACGCTTCCAGGAGCACTTGTAAGCTGGTTAGCCACGTACCTGCACGGTAGACAGGCCCGCACACTGCTCAGAGACACGCTGTCAAGCAGTCGTATTTTCAGATTTGGAGTTCCACAAGGATCGGTTGTGGCTCCTACGCTGTTCAATTTCTACGTGGCAGATGCTCCAATGCCTCCACCGCCAATTTTCTTAGTATCCTATGCCGACGACTTCACAATTTTCGCCCTTGGGACCGACATAGAGACACTAAGCAAAGACATCAACAGCTACCTGACGACGCTCTGCAATTTTCTAGACTCTCGAGATTTGGAGGTTTCAACACCGAAATGTTCCGTCACGCTCTTCACGCCCAGCACCAAAGAACACAAAATCACACCAGACGTGAAGATCAACGAGAAAGCCCTCATTCTGGCGAAAACACCGAAAATACTAGGCGTCACCTTCGATACAGCCCTGACATTTGGCCCACACTGCAAACTAGCCGCAGCTAGAGGAAGGAGCAGAGTGAATGTCTTGAAAGCGCTGGCAGGAACTACCTGGGGACAGAGCAAGGAAACCCTCATAGTAGCCTACCAAGCCTTCATCAAGTCCGTATTAGAGTACGCATCACCAGTCTGGACTCCGATCGCTGCACAGACCCACGTAGAAACACTGCAGAAAGTCCAAAACTCAGCCCTAAGAGTGGCCACAGGATGCACCACGATGACCGCTATCCAGCACCTGCACGACGAGACGAAAATCCTACCTGTCAGGCGGCATATCCGTATGAAAGCAGTCCAGCACCAGCTAGCCCATCATCTCGAAGGACACCCTGGCAACAGGCTGCTAGACCGACCGGAACCGCCCAGAAACATGAAGGAAACGCTCTTCAGCAGGTACGAGAGGTACGTCACTGCACTCCTCGAAACATCCGATTCAGAAGAAGACGACGACACGCACGTTACCGAAGAGGACTACAGAGGGCTCCTCAAAAAAGTGCACACAAATGAGGTCAAAGACGCCCTAGACAACCGGGACAACAACAAAGTGCTCGACGAACCAGCCCCTAAACTGAGCAAGGATGAATTACGACTGCCGAGAGGTACCACACGGACCCTTGCCCAGTTGCGGAGCGGTTACTCCCCATTCCTACAAAGCTACCTACACAGACTAGACGAATCAACCCCAGAAACATGCCCACAGTGCAACTCAGAAACCCACACAACGGGTCACCTATTCAGGTGCAGCGCAAACCCGACTACACTCACCCCCCACGCACTCTGGGAAAACCCGATCGAGGCAGCTGCTTTCCTGCAACTCGATACAGAAGAAGCCACAAATGACGGACAAGAGGAGGGCCAAACTACGGGCACCTAGGCAACAACAACAACAGCCCCCTCCCGCTACGCCCCCCCCCCCCCACCAAAACCCCCTCAACGTAACTCCCACGGCCCCCACGCACCTATTTACCCACATCACCCTCGTTTAATATAGTACTTAGTACAGAAGCGTACTCAGTACAGAAGCGCGTTCGAATAATAGAAAAATGTGAAATTTACGGAGACAACAAGTTAACTAATTTAAGTTTAACGTTATTATTAACAAAAGAACACAGCTCACAAAAAAAATTAAAAAGATGAGTTATAATCCATTATAATAGATTAAAATAAATGGATTATTTTTCTTTAAAAAAAGAAGTTAAGTTGAAAATAATCAAATAAAATCAGTTTAAATATAGTAATATTGTAATCCAATATTTTAATCAATTGTAATTGATTGTTTTCAAACAGTATAATCGATAATTGATTATTATCCAAGAAACTCAAGTGCGGGATGATTATAACATTTCTTCAGGTACTCATCGGGAAGCTTCCGAAAGGCTATACTGGACAAACACAATCTGCACCGTGGAAACGCTGGATTGCCTTTGCTCACATGGAACTTCGCTCTAGGCAAATGATGAATTTTTTCTCGTTATTCAAAATTTTATAAGAAAAAAAAATTTAACGAAATCATAACTCATTTTTGTTAACTGTTTAATCAATGCAGTCATTGAATATCTTATTTTAAAATTTTTTCTTAACTTTAATTATAGAAAATAATGAAGATGAAATGAGAACAAAATGAGTTAATGAAGTTGAAATTAACAGTTAAAAATCTTTAGCAACCGCTGCGCAGGCTCACACGGATATCCTTACCCAAAGCGGCTGTCATCTCAAACATTCCACGGGAGATTTCAGATCACTCGGCCAAGGTCAGTTCATATTAAGTTAACCAGCCAGGGCCTTACTATTCAGGAGGCTAAATAGAGGTTAACTAAGGTCTAACTATTTAAGATCAACTAAAGCTATATGAATAAAAGCTCACTTTGCAGGAAGTTTCTTAGAAGAAATTAAACGATCAGCTCTTAAAATATAAGTTAAGTGTAAATATAAGTTAAAAATATAAATCTATCCTATTGAAACAATATCTCAAATTAGATACTGATTTTGTATCTCATTTTGCTACAATATATATTTGAGTTAGTCTGTCACTTTTTTTTCGTGTTTCAATATCGGCTATCAAAGTTGAATGAATTTTTCGATTTTTGGTCTTGGGTAAAATAGTTGTAATAGACTCGTGGATAAATGGCTATTGGCTATTCGATTATTTTTTGGCAATTTTTTGGTATCTACTACATTATAATCCACAGCGCGAGCTATTTTTTTTCCAGCTGACTAAACGAAAATAGACTTTTTAAGGACTAAAAAAATTGACAAAATGTTTCATAGGTGAAAAACTTGGCTCAATTCTTAGGTGAAAACCTGTGGATGACAAGTCAAAAGGGATTGACTGCTTACAAGCTTGGTTTTAGTGCCGCCAAGGGTTGGTACGGAGAAATAGACCGCTACAAGTACCCCAAGAACCCAACTGATTCTTGGAGTTCGTGTGTCGATTGGAAAAAAGTCGGACACTTCACACAGGTGAGAGAGAGAAAAAAAAACTGAAAACTACTTTCTGCGATTTCACTGATTGTGAATCACATGTTCACAATGGGAAACATCAAGATTCGAGCTCCTAAATGACCTTCTCAGTTTTATAGTTTGGGCTCTCATTTGTTGGTTTATTTCTCGTTCATACAATTTGGTAAGTTTCTGGTGTGCAAAAATGGATAAACATTTGCTGGAACAAGAATAACCAATTGCAATTAGCACAAAAACTCCAGCAACAATCATGAAAACTATAAAAAACAGGTTTTTTTTCTTCAAATTGTGTCGCTTTTTACATCGTGGTCTGATGAAAGCATCTGAACAAAAGCGTAGAACTTTTTCAAACAAAGGAATCAATTTGAACTCAAACGCATAAGAAAATCAAGTTATAAACCATTTGAAAGTAGTCGACCACTTCAAACCATTTCAAAGTTTATTATATTTATAAATTTATAAATTACAGAAGTAATTCAAAAATACTTGCATCTACCATAAAAATGGCCGACAACACAAGAACAATTCTTGATGTGGAAACTTAGCGGACAAAACTTAAGCCGACAAACAGAAGTCCGACAATTACATTTTTCTCGGAAATTTTAATATATATATATATATATATATACATAATAATTATAATCATAAAAAAAAATCATAATAATAAACTTTGAAATTGTTTAAAACTTGATTTTCTTAATCAAATTGATTCCTTTGTTTGAAAAACCAATTCGAACGATACAAAAAGCTTCAAAAATTTTGCTCAATTGCGATATCACGCAAGCGCAGCATTTCAAGCTAAAAATTTTAAGGAGACGGAAATAACAAGAAACATAATTTAATAGTGAAGAAAATTTAAATTAATTACAAAGAAGCATTCGAAAAACATAATTATTATTATTAAAAAAAATTTCCAACATTTACCGAGTGGATACTAAGCCGGCAAGAAAGGTAAGACGCCCATTGAGCCAAAAACAAAAAATGCCGTATAAATTGTTGTCATCAACAAATTTAGAACAATTATGTTTTAAATCTTTGAATTTTTCAAAGAAACCTCAATCATTTTTTTAAAACTTTTGAAGCGACACAAAAAATACGGTAAGTAAACCGATAAAAACATAATCAGAAAACCTTTAGGACGAATAAAGCTTTTAATCAAGCAAAAAAAAAATGAAAACGAAAACCAAGGAAAACATACGTCAGGGCTAACAAATTTATAAATTACAGAAGTAATTCAAAAATACTTGCATCTACCATAAAAATGGCCGACAACACAAGAACAATTCTTGATGTGGAAACTTAGCGGACAAAACATAAGCCGACAAACGGACGTCCGACAATTACACTTTTCTCGGAAATTTTGTTTCCATTTCAAACATACTGAAAAAAGTACGGTCCGGACCTTAGGGTACAAAAGGCCACTCGTTACCTCTAGGCTAAGTGAAAAGAAGTCTCGAAGCTGCAAAGGTTCGCTAATAAACCAATTTCACAATTTCTTACAAATGGGTAAGAAAAATTGTTTAAATTGAAAAAGCCGACCGTTGCAAAAATTTTCACTGAGAGTTAGTTCAATAGCTCTGCTTACATTACTATAATCACTCTTTTTGAAGCCTTATAGTCCAGTTTTGCCGAATAACGAAACAATCAAAGTCGGGTGAGTAAATAGAAAGGTGCCGCATTATAATCAATGTTTTCTACTTCGAGTCGAAGGGATTGCTGTCCAAAATTAGGCAGAATTCAATTCATTTTCCTAAAAAAAGACAAATACTATATAAACCAATCAGAATTTAGATCAAAAAGCCAACTTAGAAAACAAATAATTAATCTGTTCTACATTCTGATTGGTTACTATAGTAATTGTCTACTCTATGACGCGTCTACTTCATGACTTGTCTACTTTTTTGTTTGTAACTGAATTTAAAAAATGATTTTCAACTTGAGTTTAGATGATGTGGTCCACTACCACTAAAATAGGCTGTGGCAGAGGCACCTGCTCCAATGGCAAAACTATCGTCACATGTCACTATCTAGCGCATGGGAATATTAATGGCCAGCCTCTCTTCGGCATAGACAACTACAAGCAGCTGATTGCTAGCGGAGAAAAACTGGCCAGATGCGGGTGATCAGATTGCTTTTATTTTTAAGTTTTTCAGTCTAGATTTAGGAAGCTTGAAATAAACTTTTGAAGTCCCGGTTGACAATTTTTATAACTCAGTTTCAGTTATAGAATCTATCATCGGGGCCTTTAAAAAAATTGTTTATTGAAAACTCCCTACCAGAGGGGTCAAGGTGCTCACTATCTTTTGACTCTCAAAGTCCAATTCAAGTCAGTGCTCGACCGAAAAAGAGTAGTCGAGACAGGGGTTTGGGTCGAGCACAAATTCGAATCAAGACTCAAGCACGGTCAAACATAATTCGAGCACGGTCGAAACATACATCGAGCAGGGTAGAAACTTACCTTGGGCACGGTCGAAAACACCGATTTTCCCGCGGCAATTCGTAGTCATAAAGAACTTTTTTTTCAAATATCAACATATTTTTTAACGTTTTCGACTCAAATTGCAAACCATCTAGCTCAAAAATAGCTCAAAAACAGTTCATCTCTACAAAGCATTTAATTTGCAAATAACTCAAATGATTTCATTGTGATAAAAAAGCATCACAAGATGTTACAAGAAAAGCATAAACTTTCAAGTTTAAATTTGGATAACACATGGTGTTTGAAAGCGAAACATACCCAATTTCGGTCGAGAATGGTCGAAAGTTATCTTGCTCGGGACAAGAATGGTCGAGCTAATTTTTTTTGGTCGAGCACGGTCGAAAGATATCTTGCTCGGGTCGAGAACGGTCGAGCACATTTTTTTGGTCGAGCACTAGATTAACTTTTTTCAAAAGTTTTCCTGCGGCTCAGAAAATGTTTCTGACAAAATATGGTCCTTACAGTATTTTCAAAAAGCTCGGAAAATCAAGAAAGTCAAAGTAAGAACAATCGAAAAAACCCCCACCCCCCTAGAAAAAGTTCTACGCATGCCACTGAATTGAAGCGTAACAAGAAGCGTCAAAAAGCTTTATTACACACAGAATAGCATCAATGGTTTTTCAATAAAGGAGGGATAAATTTTTTAAGAAATTTGTTTGGCTAAAATACAGGAAGTTTTTGTAGTTTTTTTCTTAAAGTTGGTTTGTTTGTAGCGCATGGCTCAGAGGATCAGAAAAACTTTAATCTTACTGTCCTCCTAAATTCTTTTTTGTGTTTTTTTTTGTCAAATGATTTTCGATTAGATTTCTGAAAAATGTTGGTTTTTTTTAGAGTCTGCGTGATTAACATTTAGAAATGTACATTTCTATGATTTTTTGAACTAAAAACGTTTGAAATCGCCAATAGCACAATCTAGGACAAACTTTACCTTCAAAATTTCCTTTTTACTTTCAAAACCTAGAACTTTGTTTGTAATGTTTTTAGCTAAATTAATTGCCACAAGTTCTAGGTTTTGAAAGTAAAAAGGAAATTTTGAAGGTAAAGTTTGTCCTAGATTGTGCTATTGGCGATTTCAAACGTTTTTAGTTCAAAAAATCATAGAAATATATATTTCTTAATGTTAATCACGCCTTAAATGTTAGCTAAAAACATTACAAACAAAGTTTGGGATCACACATTATTTCAAAATTGCACTACCAGGTAAAAAAAAAACCTTTATTTTAATTGCATAACTGCCCAGCTTGAAATAAACTAACTGATTTCTCATATTTTAAGTCAACCACAGCTCTAAAATTACCCGGGTCACGCAACACTTTTTTGCAATCCCATGCACGAAAAATAACAAAATACGACTTATATGTAAACGGTTCTAATTTAAATTATTTTGCAGCTGAATTTCGACAATGAAGAAACGGCACTGAAGAACTCATTTTGGATCATTTTGCGGCAAAATATATGCTGAAAAGAGAAAAAGAGAAATTGATGTTGCAAAAATAGAAGAAACAGTACCTTCGAGGTTATTTCAGATGCCTGTGCTTCATTTTGTCTTGTTGTAAATGATTATTCTGTATTTTAATTATTAATAATATGGAATTGACTTTGTATTAAATTCCTTCACCCTCAATGTCAATTTCATTTCGATTAACAGAAAAATAAGCAAAATTACCTTAACAATTTAAAAACTTAAAGCTATTTTTCTACTTCGTTTTGTATCAGATTGTCAAACTAGAAGCGTAAAAGAATTGATTGAATACCAACGTTATTACGCGATTAAGCACTAAAAAAAGACAAGATTACTGGTGACGCCGAATTTTATTTTTAAAGCAATATATTTCGTATAACAAGAATGCTCGTATCAGAGCACAACCCTGCATGTTTCGACTGCCCTATAACTGCTTTAAGGCTGATAATACCAAACTATAAGTGTTCAAGTTTGAGTCTTATATGAAAATAATAAGACCAATTAGATTACTTCAATTCAATTCAAAGAACTTTGCAGTGCGGGATAATTTGCCGTGCTTAAACAATTTGAGTTATACTTTCAGCAACGGAGTATAAAACGAGCAGTTTACATAGACTCGTTTCAGCATTCCCAGAAAGGCGCGCTAACATAGTCGTGTGCGTGCAAGATAGAGAGAACGTAGGTCCGGAGATCGAGCCTCAACGGAGGTAAAATGTAGTCTGAACCAAAACCACTCCAAGCATATATTTTCCTTAATTTCTTCGAAAGTCTGTACAATAATTAGATTAAAGGTATGCCTTCATTTCTTTCAATATAATAAGAGATTGTTAACCATATTTTCAATAGGCAAAATGGAATCGGCTCCAAAAATATAGAATTGTTATTTTCAATAAAACCTGTATATTGCTTACATACAGGCTATAAAAAAGCATAAGTAAAGACAAATTTAAAATTGATTTGGAAAAATATTTTCAAAACTAATCAAAAAATTATGAGCCCGCGTTGATTTCGCATTGAAAATTTGCGTCAAAAAAATTGTAAAAACAGTGATCGCCATCAATGAATTTTCAATGATCATTGCCAGAGCAGCAGATGTTACTGGTGGCTTATCACTAACTTAGCGCAATGAAAATGTTAATTTATTAATGATGGTTTATCGCTAATTTAGCGCTGAAAAAAGTAATAACAGCAATAAATAACGGGTGATTTAAGAAAATGCTTATAACATTTCATCAATTTTTTCCCTAAATTTTGATTAAAAAGTAAAAATAAAGACTAAAATAAGCCATGTTCCATCATCACAGAAAATGAAACGAAAGTAACAAAAACTAACTAAAATTTTGAGGAAAAAAAAACTTTTTTCAAAAAATTTTAGATTTTATGGCCATTTTTAGAAAAAACATAAGCAAATTGTCATGATAAATGGTAATGGAAAGGCATTTTTTTCAGCGTTAATTCAGCAAAAAATTTTACTAAAATTTTACATTTTAGCGATAAATTAGCGCAAAAAACTGTGTTTTTTTATCGCTGATTTGGCACAGATTTCAAAAATAATTGAATGCTAAATCATTAATAAATCATTGCTAATTTGTCAAAAAATCTCAATGAATAGTTACTAATTAATTAATATACTTATAAAAAGCATGGAAACTAATACTAGAAAAACAACCCGTGGGTATGAATGAGCTTGTAAAAATAACTTTACAACTTTTTTGTGGAAAAAATCTTCTAAGCAATTTATCTAACAATTTCTCCCTCTCCTCCCCTAAGGTATCTACTAAGAAATCTCCATCCCGTTAAAAAACAGTATTTTGCACTACAACTTTCTAATGAAAATTCTAAGTTTGCTGCATTCTGATTTGTCAAAAGTTTGCTCACTTAATCTGCTAAACAGTAGTAATATGTTCAATAATTAGCTTTTTTGAGAACTATTTGATTAGTGCATGTATTAGCTCTAATGCGTAATGTTTTCATGTCATTTTCAATCAGTTATACATGCTGCTAAGGCTTTTTTGTTTAAGAAAATAGTCTGTCAGTTGAAATATTATTCAAAAAATCAAATGTTACTTTTTTTTTGCCAAAAAGCTTGGCCTCGAAAAAAATTATAGATATTGTTGGAAGTACAACAAAGAGTGATTCAGCCATTTAACTTGAATCTGCCATCTATGTAAATAGTTGCCTCAACATTCTCCCTTTTTTATGTTCAATTTATTTCATATACCACATGAGACTTCAATTTACAATCAAAATTTAACTTAAACGACGGGAAGCAAGTTCTCATTTGACGCGTTGTGAAAAGGGCTAAAACTGGGCTTGACCTTTGAAACTTTTCTTTCAATTTTAAACTTAAGTTTTCTCAATACTGTAGAAAGAACATCCGTTTGTCAATATTTTACTTAAAGTTTTTGATGTCCAGAGTTCTGGGTACTAATTTTTCTTCCAAATTTTCTCGTTAGTTTTCAACGCTTCGTCCAATTTGTTCCAGTTACCGGTTGATGGTTATATTTAAGCGATATTTTAGCGCAATAAAATCAGTGTTTTTTATCGCTGATTTGGCAAAGCTTTCAAAAACAATTGAATGGCTTAATCATTAATAAATCATTGCTAATTTGTCGAAAAGTTTCAATGAACAATTACTAATTAATTAGTATACTGATAAACAGCACGGAACCCAATACTAGAAAATCAACCCGTGGGTACGCATGAGCTTGTAAAAATAACTCTGCAATTTTTTTAGTGAAAAAAGCTTCTAAACAATTTCTTCCTTCTCTCTTTTTGGTATCTCCTAAGAAATCTCCACCTCGGTAAAAAAACAGTATATTATCCCTACAACTTTCAAATGAAAATGCTAATTCTGCTGCATTCTGATTGGTGAAAAGTTTGTTGATTTAATCTTTGTAACAGTGGTGACATGATCATTATTTGGCATTTTGAGAACTATTTGATTATTGCATGTTTTAGCCCTAATTCGTTTAATATTCAAATCATTTCAAATCAATTGTACATGCTGCCAAGGCCTTCTTTGTTAAAAAAAATTTTAGTCTGCCAGTTGAAATAGCATTCAAAAACTCGAATGTTACTTTTGTTTGCCAAAAAACTTAGCTTCGAAAAAAATTATTATTACTGTTAGAATTACAACAAAGAGCGATTCAGCCATTTAACTTGAATTTGCCATCTATGTAAATATTTCACCTCAACATTCTCCCTTTTTCTTGTTTAATTTGTTTCATATACCACATGAGACTTCAGTTTACAATCAAAATTTAACTTAAACGACGGGAAGCAAATTATCCTTTGACACGTTGTGAAAAAAGCTAAAACTGGGCTTGACCTTTGAAGTTTTTCTTTCAGTTTTAAACTTAAGTTTTCTCGATACTCTAGAAAGAATTTCGGCTTGTCAATTTTCGCTCAATTTTTTTCAGTTTTGAGTACTGTGAGGCTTTTTGATGTTTCAATAAGGATCTTTTCCAATATTTTACTCAAATTTTTTGATTTCCAGGATTCTGTGTACTAATTTTTCTTCCAAATTTCTTCGTTAATTTTCAACGCTTCGTCAAGTTTGTTCCGGTTACTGGTTACTCAAATTAATTTAAGTCTTGGTAAAGTATAGTAAAACACAGATACTGTGCTTTAAAATGGATGAGTTAATCAAGAACTACTTCCTGTCATTACCAACGGCGGATTTAGGGTTTTCTCGAGGAGGGTGGGCAAATTTTCAAAAAAAAGTCGAAATTTTGTATTTTTGTGAGGTCGACTAAATTGAATTTCTGAGCTCTCCTTAATCACTACAAATACCTAATTCTGACCAAAAACAGGCCAAAAAAATGTTGGTAGGCATTTTCTGGAAAAATTTGAGCAAAGTACTGCTTTTTTTCGGCGCCCGCTATCTCCTCAAAATCACTATGTTTTGGTGCAAAGGCGTCTTTTGAAAATTGTTAGTCAGCCAAAAATCGAGTTCTCAAAATTATACCAAAGGGAGAATATTTTGGGTCGGTAGAGATCATTATTTCAAACCAATTGTTCTTCTTAGTAAAATTGCTCTGAGATCGAAATCTACACCAATTTTTCCCTAAATTGCCCTGAAAAAAGAACACTTAAAGCTGAACAAGTCTTTTTAGAAATCCGAATTACGACCAGTTAGGTTTTAATATGATATTAAACTTGATCGCAATCGAACTTTTACTTAATATCGGCTGGAATAAAACCCCACCCTACGCCATAGTTCTTTCCTGTGATGATAGTTCATACTTCGTGATATTGGTTGCATCAAAATAACAAACGATGCTTTTGTAATCTTTAATAAAGTACACCAAAGTTTTCGCAAAAAAATTTGATCGCCCTATTTGAAAAATAGAATTTGAAGGCTTAGAATATATGTTCCGATATTTTGAAATTGTTTTCCAATTCCGGAACAATAATCAAATTCAGTAAGGTAAAAGCAGGACACAAAAAATCGAATTTGCGATATTTGGAAGAAATTTCACACAATGAATTTGATGTGCAAATCCAAAGGATTTAAATTTTGTGTAAGGCTTTACTTTTATCGTCAAAATGAATTAGCACAGGAACCAGGTAACTACCGATGGAAAACGATTAGCAGCATTTCCTACAAAAAATATGATATCAATTTAAACAAATTGAACAAACGAAGTCAACCTATCTGGATACAAGCTGGTTTCTTATGGCAAGAGAAGAAAACCTAGTCAAAGAATCTATGTTTTTGTGAAATTTTTACCCTTCAAATCAATTTCGAGATAATGCAGTCTCGCGAAATAGCATTTAAGATTTAAGTGAAATGGTATACAACTTAAATTAAACGACTGAATTTTAAAAAGTTATTAAGGAAGACGTCTTTGGTCAAATTGTTATGAAACTGAAACCAACATTTTAATAGTGCAACGTTTTTAGCTTGGTTAAAATCAGGGGCAGATATAGGGAGGGTGGGGGGGGGGGGGGGGGATTTTGCCTTTGGTACTATTTTAACACCTTCATTTCTGGCTGGCTGGCTCTAAAACTTTTGTTAATGGATCTTTGGCGCCAATATATACTAATTTTGTGGAGCGCGAGCCAAAAAAACGCATTTTTTTGGTCAAAAATTTTCGAGAAGTTCCTATAAAACGATTTCTTTTGGCCGGTTTTTTCAAAAATTTGTCAAAACAGGATCTTTTTAGTGCTTTGGAAATCCTCCCACCCCCTTCGAGAAAACTTTAGATTCCGCCCCTGATTAAAATACAGTTGGTTTTGTATATTTTGTTGATTTTGGTTGGAGATAGCCTACTTACTTTTCCCGATCTATTTTTTTTAAAAAAGGTATAAAGAACACTGGCAGAATTGGAATAGGAGTTGGAGAAACTAACAGGTGAAACTCAAATTTGATATAACCAGCCATAATCAGTTAGTAGAATAACAGAATTTTAATCAATGGTTTGCTCAAGGAAAGAGGTGGACTTTATTCTGAAAGTTGAATAAAGTTATGATCGTTTTTCCTCAGTTATGATTTTAACTAATTTTAGATCAAATATCTGATAACCAGCAGCACTCGTTAAGTGGGTTGTCCATATGCAAACAACCATCTAACAACTTGATCTGCATTTCAAACTTGGGTTAGTATTTGTTCCAGGTAAATATTTCGTGAATACTAAATCGCAATAAAATAAACAAACAAGTTATAATTCATAATTTAATTAAGCTTACTTATTTTGGACGGTGAAAGCAATCTGAAATTAATCATCAGTGAAATTTTTGTTTGCAAGTGAGTATATTTTACTAGCCATTGCCTTATAAAGCGTTTTTAGCAAAAAAATGATTGATTAATTTTGGTAAAAATGATTGAAAATTGATTGTTATTTGATAGATCTAGCATTCTTCGGGTCTTTTTTCTAGAAATAAGGTAAGCTTCTTTGATCGAATGTCAGCTGCTGAATCTTTTGGCCACTTATATTAAGAATAAATAGTTTAGAATTTTTTTAAAGCCACCATTGGAAGGAAAATCTGAGAATTGAGACAAATTTTTTGAAAAAGTTTTTCACCGACAGTTTTTTCTGTAGCAATTTGAAACCTTTGCCATGACTGAATTGACATTGAGTTGCAATTCTTTTAGCAACAAAAATAGAGTGCAGCAGTAACAAATGGAGTTGAACACTTTGACAATTTTCAACATATTCCTGGTGACTCTGGCTCTGTTGGTGAAACCAGCAGTCGCAGCTGACGGAGGAGGAGCACTTGCATTCGCCCTCATTTTCGGACTGGGTACTCTACTCCTGATTGGTCTAGCTGCCGTAGGCTACTTCGCCAGAAAAAATAACAAAATATAGCCATGCACACATAAATACATGCATTTAAAAGCATTAATTACCTGCTTCACATCAATTCAATCTTCAAATAACTTCAAATTGTCACTTCTTATTTCGTTTGGTGTCTTGTACGAAAAGTTAATTTAATTTGCCAGTTGAATTCTTTTTATCTGCAAAATAAGGATGATTTGGAAGCTTTGATGTACATGTATTTCTTTTAAACACCATAAAAAGTTTCAGAAAAAAATGGCAACCCAATTTTTTGATTACATATATCCGTAATTTTTATTTAAGATTTTTAGTTTCAAGCTAAACAAATTGTATATTTTAATTTTTCTAAGTTCTCCCTCTTGTCAGCATGGCTAGGTTTTGTTTTATGAAATCTTTGTTTGGCCAACCAACCCTGAAATTTTTAAAAAGTGCCGTAAAACGTCATTGCTGCCTATATCTAAAAGAGGCTCAGAAAATTTAAGCGACTTTGGATTCTTAAAGTATATGATGCAAATTGGAAACTGATCTTCTATGACATCAACAAAATTATGGGCTTAAGAATTTTTTTTGAAAATCTGCCCCTCGAAAGTATTTTAGATTCGAACTGGGTCTCTTTAGATTGTTAGCTTAAGTGTTTCACATAACTACAATAAAGGATTACGACTCAAATGGCATAATTCGCAATTAGCATAAAAACGATAAATGTCCCATATGACATAAGCTTCATGCAACAGTTGCATTAAGAAGATCGAGAAAATTTCTGCCGTGAACAATGTGAGAAATATCGCCGAGCGGTCAATTCAAATGTTGATTAACATTTTATCTTGAATAAATTGGAAAATTATTTAATCAAAAGTGAAAAGCATAAAATTGTCAGTTAACGTTTGTTCGCAAGTAGTTAATTTCAAATCTGACAAAATTTTAGAAATAAAAGTTGATGAAAAAAATGTTTGAGTAACAATAAAAACCTGAAATTTAGGCCATTTGGGAAAAATTTCATTTTTATGCCATTTGGGAATTATACCATTTGGGAAGCTACCCAATAAGAATTACACAGCAAAAAATTTTCTTGCAGATGAAATTAACGTCACATGCAAAAATTCCCTGGTGATTCTTTTAACTGTTCATGCAATCTGCAATTACGTCATATCATTTAAAATGAGCGGTGGAAGTGGATGCTTTCCTCATGGCTGAAGGACCTCAAAAAGCAAAAAATTTTAACCAATCAAAAACTTTTGAAAGGAAAAGTCTGGTTTTATAGCAGGTAGTTATGATTGGCAATAAAATTTTCGCTCATTCGTGCATGGTCGCCCTATTTTTTTCTACGAAAACGAATGGACACAAAGATTCAAATAAGGAAAATTTTTTGTACTTCTTCCAGTCTTTCTATCGATCACACTTTTTTGTAATTCAGTTGCGACAAGAAGAAGTTCAAATACATCAGTATGACGTTCAAATCCAACAAACAGCCTTAAAAAAGTTAAAATTCAACATAAAAATTTCAAAAATAACCAACACAAATTTCAACTATACAATTCTGCCAAGGCATGATAACAAAGAAATCTCATTTAAAATCCTTTTCATTCTATTATTTTGTGATTGTGCTATTTTCTTCCATTCATTGCTTTAAATTCTTTTTTAAACGTCCAGGCAAAATGAATTTTTGTAAAATAATCTTTCATAAATTTTAGCTTGCAGAAAATTAAGCAACATCTGTAAGAAAATAAGAAAGTAACAGCATCCGTAACAGCACCCAAAAAGAATCCTAGTTTAAAAATCAACTTTCTCAATTTATTACTCTTTGTTTAGATCAAGAGGATAAATAAAGACTTAGATTCGAACAATAATTTTAGTTTTGTTTTCCTGCTTGAGAAGAACTCGAAAATAATTTTTTTATAATTTTTGAATCTCCCAAAAACAATTCCAGAAAGGTATGAAAACTGTTATTTTTTAACACGAATTTAAAAATATTACAACGAAAATAACCAATAAAAAGCAAAATTTATTCTTATCGCACTCATTGGTGCAAAAAAATTCAGCAATCATTAACGAGCAAAATGATCAACCGTTTTTTCGATTTATTTTTGTTAATTTTCGACAGTGGTTGTGACTATTTGCACTTTTGCTTTCAATAAAAAAAGTAGAAATTGTGGATAAAATTCATCTTTTATTACCTCTGCATTTGGTGTATAAGCAACGTATTTCTATCGTAACTTCTCGACACAAGAAATGTTTTCTGGAAATTTTCCATCGCAGCCCAAATATCAATTACAAAAGTTTTGTTAAGATACCTTTTTGAACCCAAAAGACCATTTTATGAAAAATTATGTCTTGCATTACATTTACACAAAAAATTTTTCCCACACTCAGTGATTGAACAAATCAGAAAATAATTTAAAAAAAATTGATTCATGCAGAATAAAATCAACAAGAAAACTATTTAATTCTTTCTAAATTGAAACACAGAAGCGAAAAAAACTTTGCTTTTATTTTTAAGAGTTCAGACCGAAAATTGATTTACAATTAGAAAATACAACAAATTTTGTGACTTTCTAAATTGAACGAAAACAATAATTAAGTCTGCAAATAAGACTCACAGAGTTTTTTTGAACGCAGCCAGTTTTGCCAAATTAGAAAAATCAATTCATCAAAAAAGCAAATATGTTTGTGAAGTTTGGGGAGAGAAGAGAGAGAGAGAGAGAGAGAGATCCAGCCTTAAAACATTCATCTCAAAAAGATTTTTGTGTGAAGATTTAGACTTTTTCTGATGCCTTTGGTTACTAAAGACCCATTTTACTACTAACAAGCAAATGACACTAAGGGAGTCGAAATTCAGCGACACAAAATAAACAGGCTGAAGAGCAATTGGAGGAAATTTGTCAAGCAGAAGAAGAGGAGGAGGAGGAGGAGGAGTTAAAAAAAGAAGATAACGAAGAAGACGAAAAAAGATATTTTACAACGTTTCAAATACCTTTTCTTGAGATAAACTGTATTTTGTTCTCCCAATACGACTCCTCCTTGAAATGATTTTTTTTGTCGCAATTATTGTTCCTTGATAATACGACGTAGATAAATAACGTAAAGTAAATTTTCCTGAGGGATATTCTTAATTTAAGAAGAACCATTGAATTCTTAGAAATTCAGTTCCAATCATCTAAAAGTATGATCAATCACAAAAACAAAACCGACCATTTTTTTTGTTCCGACCATTTTTTGTTCCGACCATCACTGCAATTGTCTTTTTTAAAAGCTTTATTGGCCATAAAATGTTTCATAAAAATTTAAAATTTTTAGTGTAAAAAATTAGAACAAATTTTAGAAATTATTTAACTGAAATTCTTTTTTTTTTAGTTTTTTTTAAATTTTTGAAGACAATTGTAGTATTTTATGTCTGATTCACCAACTTTCTATGCGTTTGTATAAATCTATAATCACAGCACGCAGAAAAAAAACTACGGTAAAGTGAAGATTGAAAAAAGTTTTTCTTCATAGTTTTTTTACGAGTGATGGTCGGAACACTCTGTGTTATTTGCACAGCAACCGGCTATCTTTGTTCTAGTTTAAAATCATTTTTTATACATTAAAATTAAAAATTTATCTCTTTGCAAGAATACAGGGTCTTTCTTGCTTCCCAGATAAATATGAAGCCAATTAAAATCAACAAAGAGCCTCAATTTTAAACCATTGGAAGCTGTTTTTGTTGTTAATTGACACATGCGCAGACTAGCCCTGCTGACTAGCCTACAAAAAGTAAATGAAACATTTTTCGGAACAAAAAATTACTAAATTTTAGTCGCTAACTAAAAAAAGAATGTTAGGAGCTGTACAAGAGTTCTTCAAAAAAATCAAACCAACATTTTCATTTCAGCTGTTGACAACGTGGCTTTGCATGCATTCAAGAAGCCCTGTAGACCAGTCGGGTTCAGCAGTTGAGAATTCGCAATGCGTAGAGTCATTCAAAGCTATGTGACGAGACCAGTGAACAGTGCACTTTGGGCGATAAAAAGACCAAAACAAACCGAATTTTAACAGTATTTTATGTATCGGAGGACAAACAAATTGGTTTCCAACAGGAAATGGATTCATTGCGAAAAGACTTTTTTTTGCAAACTGCTACCTCAACGATATTTTCATTGCCTCAAACGGACACATTCGATGGTCATAAAATGGTTTTCGTGTATTTTCTAAGTAGATTAGATAAGAACAACATGGCGATGAAATGAAGAAAATTGCAATTTTCCAAAATGAAACCAAATGGCTGCAATTCAACAACTGATAAGGGAAAGTACGACATTTTATCGGAAAAGCAGACGCAATCAAGATTTTATCTATGCCCAAACAAATCGAAATTGAAATTGTTCTTCGGCTCAGTTAACCAATATGTTTGAATTGTACCAAACTTTGCAAGCTTGAGCACCCTCTCAGACCTTTTTTAAACACAAAATTGTCATTCCATTGGAATACTTTGGCATTTGTAAAATTAATATCAGCATTCCTAAAAGTCAAGGGGAAAAGTCATTTCGACACCAAGGAAAAAACCGGATTCGACTTCAAATGGACTGAGTGCTAAGCTAGAACCATTAGAGAGGAAATTGTACAAGGGAAAAACGAAGAGTTTTAAAAAACAACGTTTGTTAGAAAAAAAAACAACTTTGAAAATTGACAAGCAGTGGCTGTAAACTTAATTGCAGACAGTAAATGATCCCGTTGAGAGATTCAAAATTTAACAATTGTTTTGGACGAGAGACTAATACAAGCTTATCAGTCGAGTTTAGACTCAAACTTATTGCATTTATTATTACTTTTATTTCTCAGTCCTTACGACCCGGGTTGACCTCCATAAACCGAAATAGCTTATCATACAATTCCATACATCAAATGCATGAAAAATGCTTGTCATACAATTCTCATACAATTTCAAAAAATTGGTGAAAAAAAATCTAAACTAACTTCTGCGGCGGTTTGATTCTAATAAAACAGTCTGGTGATGAAAAAACCATGGTTTTTTTTTGTTTTTTGAAAAAAATGTTCATCATACAATTCCCATATATGGAAATTGAGTGACTAGCATTTTTTTGATGGTGACCCAAAATTTTTTCCAATTTATTTTGAAACTGCATCAAAAAAATTTCTTGTTTTTTTTTCACCCGCAAATCGAATTTTGCACTC